AAATATTTATGGAAATAGAAAAGAAGAAATGTAAGTTTTTTTGTGTGTAAATCTGAGAAAAAAAGAAACTTTCCCTGAAGATAAACATGTGTTCTTAAGTGGGCCAAAGGTCCTGATGACATCATTGCTAGCTTCAAACCTCTCAGTTACTAGTGTTATTACACAACCCTTCTGCAGATGTGAATTCTTCCCTACATCCAGGAAAAACATCCCCCATCAACATTATCCCCAGTTTTCTCCAAGTACACCAAATACAAAGAAAAGGACCTTCCTCAAGATTAGTGTTCTCGCCACAGGCCCCGCCTCACTTTCACTGTCCACTCCAGTGACTCCTTACATGGAATTTCCTAAGACGTGAGCACAGTCTCTATCCTTCAGAGCACTGAGAAGGTCACCAGTCCTCCAGGTGACAGGGAACACTAGGCTCTTAGAGCCGTTTACGCTTGGCTTTCTTCTTAGAGAAGGAGCACAAGGAAGGAAGAAGTGGGGGAGAAGGAAGCCAGAAGAGAACGCAAAGCACAGGGCACAAAACCTGACCCTTTCCCTAGTGTCTTTCACCAAGTTTCTTACACGCTTGGTTGCCTTGGCTCCTACAGGCAACAATTCTCCCATATAGTCCAAGCTTCTAACTTCACAGACTAGGAAGCAGAAATCCAGACCCAACTTATTAACCTGTCCAAGGTCACACAGTTGCTAATCGGCAAAGCGATAGGAAGTTCAGTGCTCTGGCTCCTAGTCACACATTCTCTTCTGACTCTGTCATATTCTCCACAGATTGCATCTGCAGCCTGAAATACCAATGCTGTGAAGGCAAAGGGGAGAACTACATACAGGGTGTATCTAAAGAGAAAGTATGTGTTCCTGTCACAGACAAGCTTGTGTGAACAGTCTGTCCACTCAGCCCAAGGTGGAGAGAAATCGTCTGATCAGGTGAGAAAGGCACTGTTGCTAGCTGCATGAACTCCCCACGCAGTACCAGAAACACCAGGAACGCGACATGGTTCTGTGGGTGGGGACAGACACACTGCCTTTGCAATCTCACATACCCCCTTTTTGTTTGTTTGTTTTTGTTTTTGTTTTTCGAGATAGGGTTTCTCTGTAGCTTTGGAGCCTGTTCTGGAACTAGCTCTTGTAGACCAGGCTGGCATCAAACTCACAAAGATTTGCCTGCCTGTACCTCCCAAGTGCAGGGATTAAAGGCATTCGCCACCATCGCCTGGCCTCACTCCCTTTAAATACTGGAACAGATTGCTCATATGCGTGACGCCTAAGACATCCAGGGTTAATTGCAGTTCTGACTTTCTATCACTTTCTTGGCTATAAGCTAGTTGATTTCATCTCGTGTCCTCACACAGTTATGCACTGAAATTACTTAATCATTTATTTCAATGGTGGAGGTTGAACCGACCCTTCATTCACCAGGCAGCTGCTCTACTGCAGGGCTACACCCCAGAGCAATCCACGAAATTTAAATTGAACAATGCATTAGTTACTTTTCTCATTACTGGGACTCAATATCTCACAGAAGCAACTTGAGAAAGAGTTTTACTCACAATTCTAAGGTCCCTTGGTATCCTGGCTGAGATGGCCCAGGGCTGCCGCTCAGGTTCTGGGGGCAGGAACTCTCAGCCTGCTCCTACTGTAGACAACCAAGAAGCAAAGAGCTTAGCCTCCTGCTTCAACCTCCCAAGTAACAGGAATACAGGTGTGTCCCACACAGTCTCTTCCGCAGTTTCTCACCCAGGCCACAGGCAACCCAAAGAAAGGAAGGAATAACTGGGAGACAATCTATCATGTTAGCCTAGGTAACATGGAGTGATGCTATGCTGGGGCTCTCACCCCAAACATCCTGCAACCTCCAAAAACCTCCCCTGTTTTGGGGGTCAGTGCTAAACACATCATTATGGGGGCTGAAACAGAGGAAGCAGATGCCGTTGCTATAGTCCCTAGTTACAAATATGTCTCTCATCCACTGTGTACCTTGACTGATGCCCACCTTAGGAAAATGGACACCTAATCACACTGCTAGGACGCCTTAAAATTCCCTTCTAGTCTAAACTCAGCTCTGTGGCTCCCGGGACACCAGTGAGACGCTCACTTTGACCATGCTGGAAACTGGAACTTATGGCTCGTTCATAAAATGAAGAGACACTAGCAATTAGTAAAAAGTCTCAGGAATAAATAGGAATAGAAGACCAATACTTGACTTGTCTTCCAGTGTACATGAACTAGGGAAGACATTTTATAACACTACTCTTAAATATTGGGCACTCTTGAAATAACAAATGACATCATATTCACCAATGTTTGACTATCCAGAAACAAAAGTTTAAAGGGAGTTATTCTTGCTGGGTGGTGGTGGTATGCATGTTTAATCCCAGCACTCAGGAGGCAATGGATCTCTGTGTTTGAGGTCAGCCTGATATACAGAGCTAGTTCCAGGACTACACAGAGAAACCCTATCTTGAAAAAACAAAAACCCTCTCTGAAAGTGGCGATTGATGTTTGACTCTGCTCAAGCTCACATTAAACCGTTTTGTTTCCTTCTAAATATTGTTGTATATGCTAATACAAGAAGCCACCAAATCAATAAACAATACATCCTGAAAACCAGGAGAAGATCAAGTTGTTAACGCTATGGCTTCATGGTTTTCAAATGTTCATCTTTTTCTATGTCTCACATTTGCCATTGGTGAAATGTGTTTGACCTTAACACTAATTATAAAACTTACATTTATTTTAATTAGGAATTCATGCTATAATTACTGGAAGCAATAGCAGTATTACTACACATATTACTACAATATTTAATTTTTTATGGTGCTGGCAATTGAACTCAGGACCTTTTCCAGGCTAGACTTATTTCATCAAGTCAAGTACCTACTTCATTGAAATTAGTTTGAAATCAGCCCTATGACTATATCAAAATGTTTACTATTAAAGCGCCCCTTTAATAGTAAGGGTGGGGAGCAGATAAAGTCCTGCATGAATGTGTATTTTTGACATGAGCACAGCCATGTCAAGGATTCCAGTGCCTCAGACCCATCGGAACGGCCAAGGCCTTCCCCAGATCAGACTCTGGAGAATGGCGAAGATTCCCCTGGTCAAATTATGGATACAGCTGATCTTTTGCTAAAAACCAGTACATACAGGAAGTATAGACCACAGCTTCCTCATCCCAGAGGACTGCAGTCCCAGACTGCTCACCTACAGAAACCCCCTACTCCTCCTGAGTTTCCAGACCACTGTTGTAGCTTCTCCAACTGAGTCCATGGCCAACTGAGTCCATGGATGGAACTTGTATCTGTCATTTCTTCATTCCCTGCTGCCCCAGTCAGATCAATCATGTGACTATATCAAAACAATTAATATTAAATAGTTCCCCAGTGGTTAAATAAAGACCCAAAATTATGTCGCAAAAGTACTAGATGAAACCACAAAAAAAAATCAGAAAAATTTACCAATCTGAAACAATTACAACCATTTATATCTCTGAGCACAGTATTTTTCTTGATTCCAAATAAAAAATTAGAAGCAGTTTCTTGGGTATCCAACAACTCTGAACATACCAATAGGCTGAGGACGGCGTTTAACTCCTTCATCCTAAAGTTTGAACATGAGGATGCTGACAGTCTTTAACACCACCAATAGATACAGACAATAAACACCAATAGATCCAAGCCTACAAAGTCAAGAGTCATAAGGAGATAAACTTTCCAGTCTCCTCATTTTTTTTTAATTTTGAAGGAAGTAAAATTAGCGACTAACATTTAATGAGCATTTATGTGTCGAGCACGGGTGTCACCCTTGAAAACACAGCAACCTGCAACTGCGTTGTTTACTGTTGTTTCCCATGAGCCAAAGACTCCACAGCGATAGGGACTCGTTGCAAATTCGCGACCTAGTATGAGCAACCCAAATCAGGCATTCAATCAGTATTTGCTGAATAAATCACGCTATAAATGATTCAAACAGTTTAACTGTTGGCCATAACCTATGCAGTTATGAAAATGCAGAATAGAAAAAAGTGCATCACAACCAAGAGAATAAAGTCTTTAGTGATTTTTTTTTACTTTATATGTCCCGCATTTACTATATGCCCATCTCTTCTTCCTTCTTTCCACACGCCAGACAAGCATTCTAACACTTATTAATATTTATTTTGTTCATTTGTTCCCCACAACAACCAGGTGTAGCTGACACTACAACTTCAATCTAGCAAGGTCTCAAGTTTCCTGAGGTTATATGTGTTGTCAAGATAACGAGCAAAATATAAGTATGGACACTACTTAACCAAATAATCATTCCTCTGGTGTTTTGCTCAGAAAAAAGAAAGTGATTGAACTACATAGCTCTTCAGTAACAGTAATTATGACTTGATTAGTAAAAGAGACATAGGTATTGAAGGTGGATAGGCCTGAATTCAATACCTGCCTTTGCCACTAACCAAACAGCTGTGTGGATTTTGGCTTACAACTTAACCTCTCTGAGCTTTGATTTCTTGGCATGTAAAATGGGAACATGAATAAGATAAAGTTTTAAATACTTTGCTATATGGAAATAATGTAGATCAATAAATACTATATAATTATAAATAACTACTAGTGTTTTGTTTCTGGTCTCACAAGAGTCAATAAACTAAACCAGGATTTGAAAGTGTAAAAAATAAGAATAAGAAATTTATTGGATTAAACAGCAAAGTATGGCAACAGGATGAAAGTGGCCTAGAGATGTTCTCAGTTTGTACTGGCACTAGTGGACAGACGACACCTAAATCAAGATGTAGGTACCCTGTTGGGTCAGGTTACCGTAAGAATCAGAGGTAACAACGCTGCTCACTTAACCCTACCACCAAAATCAAACTATTCATCCTTGAAATCAGAGCAGCACCCGTCTTCTTTCTCCACGGCCTGGCTGGTGCTCAAGGAAAGTGTTAGGAAAACCACCCATTATAGCTCAGGGTACCTAGGAGCTAGGCACTGAGATTCGGAGGAACTCACCCCGGAGACTCCGTTGGTATTGCCCCAGACTGTCCTCCAGGGTAGAGTTCCCTGGGGACTTTGCCATGGGGTCAGAGATGGGAGTTACGCGGGAAAGTGTCCAGTGCACCCCTCCAAGGGCAGGCCTAGCGCTTGGGGTTGGGGGATGCCTGACTGCTTCCTGTCTCCGCTGTCACTAGGGAGCCAGGAACCCCGGACTGAGCTCCTGGGGGCTCTTCCTATCCCCTGGCCCTCATGGTGATCGTCGGGAGTTGTAGTTCGCAGGCTCAAAGCTGCTGTTTCTAGAGTCCTATAAGTCCTCCAGCTACACTACGATTCCCAGAGGGCTAAGCGCTCAAGGCGCTTCGCCGGCAGTTTAGCGGCCTGAGCCCGTTGCCAAGAGACGGACTGGTAGGCCGCGCCCTTTCCCTTCTGCCCAATTTGGATTAGTCCCACTGTCCTGCCATCCTCCTGCCACCTGGATCGACAGGCTGACAGAAGAGGCCCAGTGAAGGCCTCAACTCTTCACAGTGGGTCGTTTGTGGAGTTGATCCCTGAGCCCTCTTAAGGATTCACTGTGAACTCTGTTTAAGTTAGGATTACTGTCAAAATTGTTTCTCTCTCGAAAATGAAGCTGTCAACCTTCCAAACAGCCTGACTGTGAACGCGGCGGACACTACAACTCCTAGCATGCCCAGCGCCCCGCCCTCCGCGTGGAGTTGGCGCGCTGCCCGCTGGGAATCGTAGTCCGGGTTGGTTGCGGTCCTACTCGAGCCAGGCAGCTCTTTATTGTTCAAGCGGCTCTTGCGAGCACGCCTGCGCAGTGGGCAGCTGAGGGAGCGTGTGGGTGAGACCCTCCTCAAAGCCCCCTTTCATTGTCTGGGTCTGGCGCCTGCGCAGTGAGGCGTCGCTAGGCCCCGGCTAGAGGAGGGAGAGGGCCTGGCGCCCTGCCCTTCGCGAAGCGCCTGCGCACTGAGCGGCCGCTCGCTGCCGTTCCCGCTATGTGTGGGGCGTGTGTGGAATAACGTTATTGCCCAGCGGAACCGAGAGGGCCCGAGCTCCACGGCGGCGGCGACGACGACAACGGCGACGGGGTGGGGGGAGGACAGCGTGGCAGAGACTGACGGGACGCGCCGCGCGCCCCGCCTCCCGGTCCGGTCCCTCTCCGCGGTGAGGGGTAAGTGATGCGCTCGGGGTCGGCGCGGCCCGGGATTCTGCACGTCGTCGCCGTCGTCGTCCTCTGCTCCTGCGGCCGGGGGTCCGGGCGCGGCCCGCGGCGGGGTGGCGTGCGAGCCCGGAGGCCGAGGGGGGCAGCGCGGACGCCCCGCGCGGCCGCCGCCCTCCGGTCCCCTTCTGTCCCCTCCCCCACGGACTGCGACCGGACGCCCCGGGCCGGCTTCCCTTCGGTGCGCCCGCTCCTCTAGGGCTGGCTCCCGGCTTTGTGCAGCCGCCGCCGGAGATGTCGGCAGACGCTGCGGGCGGAGCATCCAGGGAACGAGTTTTCCGGGGCGCCCATCCCTTTTGTAGGGTTGCTTTCGGGGTGTGAGGCGGGGGGTGGGGGGGGGGTCGGACGACGAGCCTTCGGGTGGTGTCGGGAGGGCGTGGAAGCCGTGCTGTCACGCAGCCTCCCCGGCGACTGCACCCCACGTCGCCTCCGGCTGGGTAGTAAACCCGCGGGAGGAGCGAGTGGCTTCCTGTGGGCTTCATTGTCCCAAGATTCAGTTGTGGCGTTTGGATCTGGGTCCCTTCCATTTTATTCAAGGGGAAGAAATAGCAGCTGCGCTGACGCGGAAGGGAAGACAAGGAAATGTGTCCTAAGTCATATGATCTCAGTTTTCTGGTCTTGAGTAGTTTTACTGTTTTTTTTTTCTTTTCTCCCAAAATATAGAAAAGACAGGCTGTACCTGCTAGAGTCCAAGTCTGCCAAGGTGATCACTATAAAATTACTAGGTGACAATGAAGGCTGGGTTAGGTAGGGCCTACAGGGAAGCTGTTGTTTAGCAGGGAAATGAACCAGCGGAATTATTTTTTCCACTGGGTGGGTAATGCGTTCTTGTTCCTAAGGGAATACATTAGGATACGTTTAAAGCTAACAAAACAAAAAATAGGCCGGGTATATTTCAGTTTCAGAAATTGATTGGTTTTTATTCTGCTGATGAAAATTCAACCATCAGAGAGGAATTTGTGGGTACAGACAATACGTTTATTCGAAAATACACCCTTGAAGATGATTTGATTCTGAAGCGCATGGTATTTGACACGCAGGCAATAGAATGAAGAGGATGAGGAGGGGCAGGTGGGGGCATAATGTGAGAACTACATTCATTATAAATAAGAATCTAAGTCTTTATGGACATAACCCTGTGTACTTAGCCTTCAGAGACTGACTGAGGAAATCACTGAGAAATAGCAAGGTTTTGTTTTGTTTTGACCACTTTTTTAAAAAAAAAAATAAGACCAGGGATGCTTTTAGTTCTTTCTTTTGTGAGTATTACAAAACTTTGGGGTCCTAAAACAGGAGTTGTAAGTGGGCTTAATGGAAACCAAGAAGATGCTAACACCAACAAAGTTGGCTGCCTTGTCTGCCGGTAAGCAGTGGAAGGTAGAGCCAAACAAAACCAGAATTTGTACAGCACTGATCTTTCCCACGTGTGTGCCCTAGTCCTCTGCCTGCACGGATATACGGAACATCTCCACACACCTTGAGTGGGCTTTTTTCTTTTTTAAACTCGATTCTCAACAGTTGTATTAATTTACTCCTTGTGTTGTGTTATTAATCATTAATTATACTGAAATGGAACTTAAGTTTTATAGACTAAGGAAAAATATCTTCAATTGTGCTTTTTGTGAAAAAAGACTGGCTTCCCTACTTATTAATAACCAAAACGTATTATGTCCTGACATTCAGTACTATTTTATAGTGTGGTCAACTCTATAACCTGTGTTAAAAATAAAATGTACATACAAGAACTTAATGATGTTTGTTTTTCTTTAATTTAGTGAATTATATTCTTCTCAACTTATACTAGAACGTATCTTTTGATAACTTATTTAGGGAGGCTTATTTTATTTTAAAATGGGGGTTTTGTTAAAATATAACTTATTTTTTTATTCTCAATCTTAATGTTATTTTTAGAATGTGTTAGATTTTAGCCAATTTTTTTGTTTTTTCATGGCGGGGAGATGGGTTCAAGACAGGGTGTTTCTGTAGCCATACCTGTCCTGGAACTCACTCTGTATGTGTAGTCCAAGCTGGCCTAGAACTCGGAGATCTGCTGCCTCTGCTTCCCGAGATCTTCCTGTGCTGGCATCAAAGGCGTGTGCCACTACCGCCAAGCTTTATTAGTTGGTTTTTTAGAGACAGGGTTTCTCTGTGCAGCTCTGGCTATTCTAGAACTTGCTCTGTAGATAGGCTGCCTCAAACTCAGAGATCCACCTGCCTCTGCCTCCTGAGTGCTGGGATAAAAGGTGTTCGCCACTATGTCAGGCTTAGATTTTAGCCAGTTTTTAAAATTCATGATTAAATTCCATGTGTGAATTTTACTCAGTAAAAATTTAAATACATTTTACTAATAAATTTTATGGTACCCTAAAATAATTCTGTGTGGAATCTTCTTGTTTCTTATATTAGCATTAGAATAATGAGATCTACATTGTGAATATTTATATCAGTTCTGCATGCTAATGCAGATGGTTCTCAAAATTCTGTGTTCCACTTTCTCATTTCTTTTTATTTACTGGGGGGAATAAAATCTTGGATTTATTACTGCATCTGCTAGTAATCAGATATTGCTCCTCTGGTGGTAAAAGCTCTGTATTTGAACTTCTTATCTATATGGGTTTACATTGTGTGTGTGTGTGTGTGTGTGTGTGTGTGTGTGTGTAGTTTGTATGCATGTTTACATGTGTCAGGGCATGCATTGCCTGTGCACATGGAGACCTGAGGTTAAAATGTTCCTTGATTGCTTTTCTACATTGTTAATTTTGAGGCAGGGTGCCTCCATTGAAACCAGAGCTTATGAATAAGGTTAGTCTGACTAGACAGCTTGTTCCAGGGATCCCGGTCTTTACCTTTTAAGACTAATATATCTTCCCCCACATTACTATATCTTCATGCCCACTCAGCATTTGCATGGACTCTGGTGATCTGAGCCCTGGCTGGTCTTCTTACATGCCTGGCAAGTCCTTTAATCGGACCTTGTATGGTTTATCCACTCAACAAAATTCTGTTCCTGATAAATATTTTTACTAATTGATGCATAATGATTTTTGTCTTCTGTCTTAAACATAAGGTTGCTAAGCAATGCCTATTCTAGTAAGAATATGATAGGTGATGGTAAGTTGTAAAATATCGGTAAAGCTGTAAATTATTCTGAATTAGCTATATACCACCAGTGTTTGATGAGTAGACAATGATTAAAGCATTAAACATTGATCTCTTTCACACAAAAAATGGAGCATGTTTAGTGGAGTAAAAGCCCTAGACCATCTTTTCTCTTTTAATTTTCTTTAACAATGAAGATTTCTAGTAATTACCCATGACAAAGTGAACTTTGATTTGCTCTAGTGTTTTATTAGGGGTGTGTTGTTCAGTAATGAGTTCAGTTTTTGTGGTATAAAAAATAAGAAAACATCTGTGATTGATTAAACTGGATATATTAGCTGAAATGATTGTGCAACAGGATATGTAGTTTTTTAAGGCAAAGTAGCATAGCCAAAATGTATGACACCCACTTACATGTCAAACGAAAGCATAAAAGAAGCTAACAGGAGGAAAGCTAAGGTCATATAAATTACTTACAGACAAACAGTGACTAAAATGAAGCAGGAAAGAATCTCAAGCATTGCATAGAACTGAAGAAAACCAAGTGAGACATGACAGAGAACAAGTACCCATTTAGTGCATTAGTAGTAAAAGCTGCAGGAGACATTTCTCTTCGGGGGCATGGTGTTACTGGGAAAGTGATAATACCTACCTGCATGGAACACCTACGAAATGGCAGTTTTTGCAACCTTTTTTTTAATCAAGGTATCGTGTTATACAATTAAAGTTGAAAAACTAAGGGGTGGAGAAGTGGCTCAGCAGCTAAGATTGCTAGCTGCTTTTGTGGAAGATCCAGGTTTAGTTCCCAGCTTCCATGTAGTGCCTCACAACCGCCTGCAATTCCAGCTCTAGGAGTCAGGTACCCTCTTCTGGACTCGACCCCAGGAGCACACATGGTCAATATC